AATTGATTAAAGATTCCATGATTATAATAAATTGCCGTTGCGCGTCTAATCTGGTGCCGGTGGCCAAAACGCTTGTCCTGGTCTGTGCCTGTGCCCCGAGGAACGCGTAGACATAAGCTCGAATTGATTCATTCCCTTTTCTAATTCCCACGTCCGTCAACTGAGTCCTTTTGCGAGGTATAAGACCCCACCACCCGGTAGTAGTGGCTTTTGAGTCTTGCTCGATATATTCTACTACATATTGTACCGTTTTGCCAGAGTTAACTGGTGTATAATGCCAACTCGTAACCTTGTGATCTTCTGGCTCGAGGCTGTAGTGATAACCTAAAAGTCGCTCTAACGAGCCTCCATCCCCCAATTCTTCGTCCATTTCTTTATATCTTTTATATTTTTCGGGCATAGGAGAAAGCGCGTCTGGATCAAAGTCACCACCTGGAACGGGTAACCACCTCCTAACACCCGTGTCCATCGAACCGTCTCGGTCAAAATAATAAGCTGAACCAAGGCCATTTGTGTGGGGGTCAACGGTTTGCCTAAAGCTCATGTCCGAGTCAACTCTAAAATCTCTACAAATGTCCAAAAATTTTTCGCTATCACAATAATTATCAATCGGGTGGGCAATTTAATATCACACAAATGAAAGATTCTTCTAACCATGTAATATACGTGAAAGTTGTACAAGGCAGATGTATATGGATCCGTGTCAACGATTCTCCCAAAGTCTACTCCGCATGCCGTCGTCGCACAATAGACCGCAAAGTTAATTTGGTTTTGGTAAAACGACATCTGGTCTTCTTTCCAGCGTTCTATAACTTCGTCCGTAGTAACTTTTGGTAATTTATAAGGTGTTGTCATGTCAATGAGGTTTACTGTAAAGGAATTGTCTTTGTTGACTACAATGTTAAACTGACTAAAGTTGGTTCCCATTTATTTTAAAAAAGGAGGGGCCGTCGGTTGGGTGAAAATGGTCGGGTTGATCAGAATAATGCTCGCTTCGCTTGCTTCACTCGCTTCTCGATAAGCGGGTGGTAATTCTGGTTTCTCTTCGAACTTAACCGACTTTGTTAAAGTTATTCGCCAAGTTTTTTCATATGATCACATTTTAAAACCGCCGCCCGTTCGTTGGCTAGCGCTTCTGCTCTCTCTTGACTTGACGTTCGAATTCTTCTTTAGTGCTCGCTTCGCTCGCTTTCAATTTTGTAGAAGAATTTGATCTGATCTTTTCTTTCATTTCGTTGAACTTTTTCAGCTCGGATAAAATAAGGACAAATTCCTCTTGGGATATATCACCGTCTTCAATCGCGCGAGATACGTATTCCTTGATGGTGTTTAATTTAGCGTCTGCCAACATTCGAATTTGGTCGTGTTTTTAGTTTTGTGGACGAGTCTACGGGAGGTGTATTTCAATATGGCGTAAGTGCCAAACGCACCGATAGCGATGCCTTCCATCACAAGTCCGACGGGTCCGGTAACGACGCCCAAAATGGCGGGAATGCCGACGGCTGCCGAGGTCGCGCCCAGGGCTTCCACGCCGTACTCCACGTATCCGAGTGCGGTTAAAAGTCGTTTGATTTTTTTTGTAACTGTTTTCCCTCGCGTCGCGTTCTCTTTGGATTTGAGATTTAATTTCTTCGATCTTTCGGAGTCTGTATATTTTGGTTTCCGATTCGATCGTTGTTCGCTTCGCTCCTTTCCCAAAATTTAATGGTCGGGTATGGGGAAATCCCTTTTTTGTTCAGAATACTCGTTTCACTCGTTTTGTTTGATGGTAAATTTGGACAGATATTAGTCGTCATCTTTTATAATTAAGAGTTTTAAAAAATATTCACCTCGAGCAAAATTCCGTCTCCTTTACCGCTTACTAACCTATCCATGTCGTTTCTTAAAGAAAAGGTGAGTTCGTCTATGTTTCGATCTATGAGTCTTTTACAGGTGGGGTTGACCTCTAAATTGCACAGGTCTGTGTCTCTGATGCTGAGTACCGTTGAAGACTTCCCATCATGAAAATTATAATCTGGGTCGAGCTGCTCACAGTGTATAAACAGATATTTAATGCGTTCGGTATTGTAGTTGCCTTTGTGTACAACCGAGTTTTGTAGTTCGTCTTGGGGCAGACCGAGCAATTGGCCCACGTGTTTGTTTAGTTTTAGTTTTAAAAAAGGGTCAAAAAGGACCAGGGCAACTGCTTGAGACTCTTCGTGAACTTTAAAACTAACACCTGGGATGGCGTTTAAAATAAAATCAAACCAGTCGATATCGTAATAACCGGGTTCAAGGACAACAGAACCACTCGGCCCCGAGACGTTCACTGACTCAAACGCTCGCTTTGAAAAAAGCCGGTTAAATATGGGGTCCACACGATCATTTGGTTGCCCATCACCTTCAACAAGTTCACCAGGCGCAAGAACTAATCTACTTTCACTAGAATACCAAACATACTTTCTTTTCATTTCGGTCGAGAGACTGTCGACGTTTGGTGGTTGATTCGATAGAGCGCTTCCGTAATCTAGTGTATCAAATATACCGTCAAGCCCCAAAATCAATCCCAAGAGCACATTCGCTGATAAAATAAGATCATCAGTAGTTATAAGTACCGATGTAAACGTAATCTCAATTTCTTCAATCAAACTCATGGCCCCTCCGTCACCAAAAAAAATACTCATTAAACTAGAACGATCTTTTGCAGCAACATTAAAACTTCCTAAAATGCGTTCTTTTATTCTCACTGTATTTTCCTCACCCGTTTCTCCAGGGTCAAAAACAGAAGAAAGTATGTACTCTTCTCTACCTTGTATAAAATTAGAATAACCAAGTCTAAAAGCTTGCAAAATAGAAAGCATCATGCTTCTCATGACCTTCACTCGTTTAACATTAAAGGCCCCATTAGCAATATATTTATGTTGGATTTTTAAAAAATCTGAAGTTGTTACATAACAGCTTACAAATATTTCTATTACATTTCTCAAACTAT